TGAGTGTGGTGAGTGCCATCATTCACGTATACAAGCATTTGCGACTTTGAAAATTTGGCGCGCGCTATGTACTGGGCCGGGTAGGTTAACCTAAGATTGGTAAGTGGTATTGGAAAATCTTCCCATGCCGAGGCATCCAAAGCCTTATATGTCTTCTGGGATGACTAATATATATGTAACGAGGGAATACATTGAGAGGCTGGTCGAGTTTTCGCGCTTTTAAAATGTGTTCCCTTATGAATTAAAAAACTACTTTCTTAACTTGAGAACTACTCCTTTCATGAAGGCTTCATGTAGGAACTCCAAGTATGGAACTTTCTACCACGTTTGTGTACTATGAGAAATCCTTAAAAGCAGGCTGGTAAATGGTAAAAAAACGGATCGCATCTTGCATATTGTATTTTAAATTTGCTGGACAAGCACCATGAACTTGCATAAAATAAAGCCATTTTGATGTCTCAGATTTTTTCTACTTGCAGCTTCAGTTGAAAGCGTTTGAGATCTTCTTGAAGTGCATATCAGGAGACAAAAGTCCGTACCGCCTCATATTAATTGGCGGTTGCCGCCACACCGGTGATTATAAGCGAGTGCAACGTCTACGGGAAGCAGCAAGACAGATGGGGTTCTCAGATCGGCAAGTGGTCTTTGAGGTAAACCCGCCCGCCTCGAGAGTGAACCAATACCTTGCAGAAGCCACCATCAATCTCCATACTATGGTTGACGAGCACTTCGGCATTGGTAGGCGTCTACAAGACCTTGTTGTAGTCTTGCTACTCACGCAAGTTTAAGTACACTTTGTATTGGCTTTCATTATCAGGGGTTGTGGAGGGTATGGCAGCTGGCTTAGTGACGGTCGCACATAGATCCGGTGGACCCTTGATGGACATAATCGGTCCTGCGTTGGCGCAACCAGGAGTTGACCCGGGCATGGTGAATCCGACCCCTGTGGGCTATCTGGCTGTGCGGCCTGAAGAGTACGCCGAGGTCTTTCGTTACGTCCTTGTCGAAGCCACGCCCAACCAATTGGAACCTCTTCGGACTGCCGCAAGGCAACGCGCACAAACACGCTTCTCGGAGGAAGTCTTTTGCAAGGGGTGGCTCAATTATGTCGAGAAACTAGGTGTGTGAATGATTCTCCTCCATTCCTATTGTTTTGATTTTAAATTCGGCTTCCCTTACTACAAACGAAATAAATGATGTGACGCTAGCACTTCCGGTAACCTAATCGTCAAACCTTGAAAATCAATAAATTTAGGATGACAAATGATGTTTTGGAGAACTTTCCACGGTAGCCATGTTGCGGTGGTCCTCCCATGAATTAATGTTTTGGTGTACCGCAGATTTTCCCCCTATAGTAAGTAGGAAAAATAGGTTTCTTTTTGCGGGCGCACTACGTAGGTCATTCCATCATATACCCGTTCGGAGTTCTTAACCTCAGAGGCGTGAGAATAGGTGTTGTACTTGAGGCAGAATGCACTTATTAGTAGACGGAAAGTGTGTGCAATGGGTAGGCCATTATTTGTCAATCAGTAAAGAAATATGGCATTATTTTCGGGCTTTTTGTCATCAGAACGCCCACAGTTTGTGTGAATATTTTTGCTTAGGTAGAAATAGTGGTCATTAGAAATGCACGTACTGACAGCCTAATACCTATCTGTCTGTTTCATCGGTTGCGACCTATTAAATCTTCAATAGCTGTAAGATTGAATAACGACCACGATACTGGTCGGTTACTGTCTTACAGGCACCAATCGGACGCCAGTAGTATTGACGTTCAGTATTGATTAGTTGTTAGTGCACCAATCGTATCGCAGGCTAGCACCCAAATGTGCATTTATGAATGTCAAGGTTATTACAGGAGCTGCGTACAAATATGGTACAAATTGCTTTGTCGAATTTCTCTGGCGATTCTTCAAATAGTCATTTTTCAATCTCATGGTTTGGATTGTGACCGTCTTTCAAAGCGCTTCCTTTTTCATGGAGTTTTTCCAAAACATGGATATTTCAAACTGCTTTCTAGTACTTTTTTAAAATGAGGATAAATCACTTCATAGGTAACACCTTCACCTCTTTAAAAAAATGCGTGAATATCAGTGAGGCTTGAACTATCACCGCATATGGAGGTATGGTGTCCATTGGTATATCATGTAATCGTTGCGAATGTTACAAATCCTAAATACAAAAATAAAGCTGTAATGCGTTTATGAATGAGTGGCAGCTTAGGAATTTGACTGCTCTATTAGCTGTTTTTTTGTGGTCACATTTGAACGAAGAGGGCACTACCTATTGAATGCAATGAAATGCATTCACTTTGTATGTAAACTAATAGGGTTAAATTAATCATGTTTTTGAAAAATTGTGGTTAGTTTAAACGTATTTTGCGCTGCAGAAACGATGTGGCAACACAGACAAATGAAGACATTGAAGAACTGGATGCGCGATTGACATTGACGAGGCCAACGCATCCAATCCCGCGATGCGATAGTTTAAGGGTCTCTAATCCAACGATATAAAAGCTACAATGAGCTACAGGTCATATTTTGCAAATCTGTGGTAAGGTTTGGGGCGGTCGGTAGTCTAAATATCATAAACTCTTTGACGGAAATCTTCGCAGAAAAATTCGCTGGGCGGCTGAATGGACTTCTGAGTATGAATTTGAGATGCAATTCACAGGAGGAAGTTTGTACAAGCAATTTTTTTTGGAAGTTGTTTTTACCGACGTCTGCAATGTTTTATTTGAATGGTTAAATAAATTCAACTAAATCGACAACAGTCAGCCCAACCAGCCTGATTATTCTTCCGGTTCCTGGCTAATATTTTCCGGATGGATGACCACCACGACAAAGTAGACGAAATCCAGTGCATGGGATTTGACCTTTAAAACATCTGACTAGCAGAAACGGATCATCGGCGGCCAATGCAATTCTCCCGTTTGGGTGGTAGAATCGGAAGAAATATCCATAAAAAAGATAAGCTCCCACCCTATGCTATTTGACCGCGCCTCAGTTGTCAACAGGGAAGGAGAGGATGACGCCCTTTTGCTTAATTACATCCGAATTAACATCCGATTTGCGTCCACTGCCTCATTAAATGAGGCGTGTGTTTGTTAGGTGTCATTTGCATTAAATTAGTGCGTGAAGTGCTCACTACAGTAGGTAAGCAATTCTAATCAAAAATGATTTGCATAATTTTGTCTTCAGTTTTCATAAATTCGGTCACCCAATTGGTGCCATGCTAATTCATTGATGCAACGTCTTTCGTTGGTCCACTGTCGCTACCACAACTTTTGAATGATTGGCTTTTCAGACACATTCAGTATATATGAACTTTAGGAGGGGCTCATCATTCGCACAGAAATGGATCCCCAAAAGTGGCTTCTTAATTTACAATTATGCTCAAAGAAAGAGCTATTGTTTTCCTCAGTTTGATTTGCTCCTTTCATGAGCTGAGTATAAAGTAAGCGAGAAGTGACAATTTTCACCCAGTGGAATGATTTGGTTTGATTCAATCACGAAAATGGACTAGTTGACGAAGTATTTGGATAGCTAATACAGCTGGAAACTGCGCAGCGTAGGTGTCAACAAATCTTTCACCCATTCAAATCCCTTCTGATAAAGAAAACTTCCCGAAAGCTTAGTAAAATTGGAACGATCCATGGAAAAGATTTGGCAGTCTGATTTGACCATATCTTGGCAGTTATCAGCAGAAACTTAATTTGTGGCCTGCACGACAGCCTATTCCTCTCATGAGTTTAACCAAGTAGAACTTCTGTCTGTTGCCTTCATAAATTGCACCAGATTTTATTGTTTGCAGCAAGTGCGTTAATCTTGTGCTCATAAGTCGACTTCTTTGTGAGCTGCCGATTTAGATTGTTCATATCTTTATAAATGCCAGCAGTGAATTTCACGTATCCGACTTACATTTATCTTCCGTGGACCAAGTTCCGCCCCAATGGCATGGAGCCCTGCTCATGCCAACTATGCAACAAAATTTCCAATCTCCTCTGTTCACGCATAATACAGATGCCCCCCAATGACCCTAGAGATAACGAAGGCCCACTATTGGCGGTTGCGTTGACGATACCACTCCTAACGTATAGATATTCGGCATTTTGCCCCCTTGAGAGCGCGTAAAAATGGAGGCATCTGCTGGGAAGTCTCACAGCTGAAGAATTTTTACTAGTATTTGCTTAGAAAATAATGGAAAAAGTGGCTTCCAACATTTTGGTTTGGAAAACTGCACTTGCTTAATATCACCAATGGTGTCAGTTTTACGCCTCTTCCATGTTTTAATAATAAAACCAAGTTCCAATTTGTATGCCCTAGTTAGCCTTCAGAGGTGATTCCGATACAATACGGCAATAAAATGGTCGAACTTCAAGATTAAAATTTGAACTGTCTCCATTTGCTAAGACGAAAATATATTACTATTATAAGTTGGTTGCTTAACTCTCAGTTTTGGCAAATGGCCCACTTTGGGTCTCCGCCATTGCACCTTCGCCGAGTGCGCTCTTGCAGTCCATGCAAGTAGCTTCAAGCCCTACTGTATGAGCAATGTGTCTATATACTCTGCCCGAGTATTATCTTCTTTCCTCGCGATATTGGTAGCAGCGGAAAGCGAATCCTATCTTAAAGGACATCTATCCTGGTTTCTACTGCTGAGTGGTAAGCCTTAGTGGAACAGAAGAAGTGCATATGCAATGGGTGAGAGAATTGCTGATGACACATTGCAGGAAGCTTGAAATTGATACCTAACATTAGCAACCAATCCAGTCTCGTGTTCTCCAGAAAAGCTATTAACAACTAAAGGGACACTAGCTATGAACTGTCTAAAATGTTCGTTGCAGAGCTGTTAGCGGTAGATGCATGTCGATACCTCATTTGCTTCTTTTCTAACTGGATAGAACCCAGATGGATATGGCTAAGCAGCAATGAAATGAGAGCAAAGTGGCAAGGAGAAATAGAAGTGAAGCCTTACTTTCAAGGAACTATTCTTAACCCCGACCTTTGTTATATGACCCTGTTATTGGTTTAGTGTTCCCACGACCAACAATGGACACGCGTGAAGGCTAGCATTTTCCCCCGCCCCCGAACCCAGTTACCGTATGGGACGAAACTCCAGATCCAGTAAAATTGCTAAGAGGGATCAATGACGTTTCAATCAAGTACCTTTTCAACTACATGGAAATTCAATGACTGGCACGGGTGGCTCGCGGATGTTTCCTTACGGCACCGATTACGTTGCGACAGCTAATACAGGAGGTTGACGAAGCTGAAAAGGGTACGGGAACCATGTAATACGATTCTCGTTTGTATAACTTTTAGTTTCTGGTGAAATAGCTACTATGAGTCTCCGTCATTGTACCTTCGCCGCGTAGACTGGCCTCCGGATCATGTCAGTAGCACCAAGCCCTACTGTATATGGAAGTCTCGGGGCGCTGCATTAGTGCTTCCGTGACTGAAATTCTTTTCCGGCCCAAAAGCTAATCAAAGGTAAACAGTTTTTACCCATATTTTGCACTGCTAGCAAAATATTGCTACAATAAAGTCCATTTAGTTCATTGCTGGAAAATTCAGACTTTATAAATTATTTCATTTAAAGATTCCTCTTCACTTTTTAAAAATTACAGAGACTCAAATAATCGAGAAGCTGTGTGCCATAAAGTAAGCCTGTTGATTAGACCTTATTTTAACGGGTAAATAAGGAACGAATGCGCAACTACGAAGGGAATTCTTCCAATAGTCAAATCTAGTCATCATAACCGCTGGAAATCAAGCAGCGGTTTTGTAAGCTAAGCACTAATCAAGTGGAAGTTTTGGAATCATTAGACGCTTCATCCCGATTAAAACTAGACGGCGCATTCCGGTGGATGCGGCGGAGCCCCGAATAAAACACCCTCGACAGTAAGTAGAGGTGCGACACTCCAGAATGGTGGAACGTTCGTACTATCTAACGTAGCGGCGAGAGATTCTCCTTCACACCATCGACTGTGCCACGGCCGCAATGGGGACAACGAACATTGCGAAGTTATCCAGCGTGAAGCTATCCTCAAATCCACCGACACCTCCCCATATCGCGACTCGGCTATCGAACTTGTAAAAAACACCTGTGTTACCAGCCTCACACCCCATCAATGTACTTACAACAAAGTTACCTCCAAGCTTTATAAGTTGCTTTCACTCGGATTGGATCTTCAAATCCGTCACATCCTAATCGCAAATAAAACAGGTATCTATTGAAAGGCCTCAGTAACCAAGCCGGGTTAACACAATTGAATGTGAATTCAAGGCAGTAGGTAGGGACAGCTTTTAAATGGGAGGTCGAGGTATACATTTAAGTGATGGCGCTTTAAAAGACAGTCAAAAGAGCGAAGACCGCGTAGACCAAAGCACACGGATAGCCCACGAGAAAGCGCTGCTTCTCCAGACTCAGGGCGCGCACAAAGAGCTTGCTAGAGGACATTGCGCTCCAAAATACAATGAAGGCGGTGAGGACCACCCCCAGAGGGGATCTAAAATAAAGTAATTTTCCTTAACAAATACTTCAG